AAGTAGCTTTTAAAGCTTACTTGCCCAATGGGCAAGGGTCCAGGAACTTCATTCTCTAACCAAATCATTAACAAAGATAAGCAAGAAGTGGCCCTGGGCAAACAAAATGTGAGACCAGCTTGCCTAAAGGACAAACTGAAATTCAAGTTTTTTTCGAGTGCCATTACTTACGCATCTCTTATGACATGTTCAACACTAGCATAGACGTGGTGATAACTGATCACATGATCCAAACCAGCCAAGGATTTTTCAATATCTATGCCAAGTTAATAGATAACTCAATTGTTGTCAGTCACAACACGTGACAATTAATTGACTACCGTAGTAATAATATTGTGGATTGTAGACCCCATTTCAGGTGCATTTCATTTCTTCTGATTGGATGTGCACAGACATGCCACAAACAAAGCAAATTTGATGAAATTTCCAAAAGGAAAAGTTATACTGGATTGATATCGCCAACTTTTACAAAATCATGTGAGCTATAGAAAAATCTGTTCATCTTGCAAACTATGCGCAGTCATCATGAAGGCGCACTTGAGCCAAAAGCCCAAATGTCTGGAGCTTACGTGTATCCCAGTTTCCTGAGCATGAAGCATGCCAAGGAAAATTGCTACTCCCCGCTGGATAGGATGCTAGTCCATTGTAGGGTTACCCCCCAGCAATATGTTGCCGGTACCAATTTATACACCTGGGTGAAGAAAGACGAAGTGGAGTATAGTTCCTTGTCAGGGAAACAATGCGATGGGCGAGGATTGAACCCCAGACCTCCAGATCTGGAGGGAATATGTTGATTTCTCTTAACATTGAAGACGGAAAATGTATTCAAGGCTCTCCTCTAAGACTGCTAAAGTACAGACCTGACAAACTAAGCTTGAACTTCAATGTACTGATTTAATAATAATTAACATCAACCAAAAACTTAAATACTGTAGTTCAAGAGTGTAGCAGATTGACAAAGAATTGAAGCTAACTGTTTTACTACATCATGTCTTTAGCAAATATGAGCTTTAGGGAAGCAATCACATTCACATTTAAAGATTTAGGATACTAGCTTGTCTTCGCTGCAAGTCGTCAGTCTCCCTATGAACTGGAACAATGGTGTCCTCTAGTTTGTGTATGCGCCCTTCAAACTTGGACAAGATATCCAGCTGTAAGATAACACATAAATTATGAGAAATGCCTAAAACAACTTCCCTTCAATGATCAAGACAAATACACTGTTGTACACCATAAACTGCAACAGTGTTGTACCTAAATTTTAGCTCAGCAGGTAAGGGACCACTCATGGCCAGTAAGGCAAAAAATATGTGCCAGAGGCACACTTTCCTAGGGGGAGGGGGTAGTGGAGGGAGGGAAATGGCTTCGAAATTTAGGAGCTCAGTTCTCTGAAACGTAAATCCCTCATTTTAAGACCTATTTTACACAAATCAGCCATTGTTATCTTTAGACAACAATTTATTTAAAATGTTTGATTCCCATAATTTTACTCTGTCTTCAATGCTCTTTCCAAAATGAGTGGCCAATAAATAGAAAAGCTGTGTATACATTAATAGACTTCTATTATTCACTCATTACGTTGATCAGATTAAATCACAACTTGCAAATTTTTTAAAACAACGTATTTCATTTTCCTAAACCTTCAAGTAGTTGTAGGCAGTAAGAAGTGGTGCTTCAGAAAGTAAATTTTACCAGTTACTGCCAGATAAGGAGAACACTGTGTAAGCCCCTCACTTACTTATAAGCTCACCTAGTTGTAGACCCACCTTCTTGTCAGCAAACGAAGTCCACCCCTGCCTGAATATACCCACCAAGCTGTTGTGCTGGTACAACATTGTTAACTTTTAAACATTTTGATTAAACTTACAACAATCTGCTCACCATGTTTCCTGTAATTTGATTTGTCTTTTCCAAACTCTCCTGAAGAAAAGCTAGGATATTCTTTTCCTACAAAAAAATGACAACTACCGTAGTCTATGCAATTATTTTTGATTTTTTTCTCTTTTAGAAATGTTTCCTTGATCTGAAAACTTTGACAACAACAACAAAGTACAATAATAATTTTTGCAATGTATCACCAAACATCCCAGAAGGAGGACAAAACAAGATTCAATGCACAAATTTACTCTCGCAAAGCAAAGGCCATAAGGCCCAGCTTGCAAACTCGGTTGGCCCATTTATGTTTGTATATACCCAATGCGATGGTGTCCACAATGCAATGACGTCATCAAGCAGCCACGTGGCAAAGTCGTCTCAAAGCAGATTTCACGTGCGAGGTGCAGTAAGACTGTAGGTTTGAATCTTGGCGAAAGCTCTTTTTTTCTTTGTAAATTGTTTTAGTTGCGGTTGTCTTGTTTTGTTTTTTTTTAATCATTTTTTTCCCTTTGGCTTGTTTCCCTTTATTCTCACTGCTCACCACGAGATTTGTGTGATAATGTATTTTTAGTAATAGAATGGTAATAGGAGAGAAAGGAAGGAAGGTTAAGAGGTGCGAGGTGCAATTTCATGGTGAGCTATTTCCCTTTCCCTTAAAATTTTAAACATAATTGCTATTAATATGTAGCTCTCTCAATTCCTTTTTGTATCCAGAAGTCAACTCTATCTAAGACACACACTGTTAGGAGGTACACTAAAGATGTCTATCCACCAGGAAGCCAAAGGGTATACTGCCAATAAAGGCCAATATCGGATAGTTAACTTCTGGATACAAAAAGGAATTGAGGGGGCTACAAAGAAAGGCACAGCATAAAAGAAAAGGTAAGTAACAGCACGGTGGAAATTATCAAAAGATAAGTTACAGAATAATAATTATTGATGAAAATAGAGCTCGAGAGATAAGGAAATACCTTAGCAAGTTTGTCATCTAGCTGCCTCTTTCTGACTGATATATCATCCATCGTTAACACACGGAAATAGGAGTTATCAAACTATTATTGTTTGCAATAATTGCTACACATAGCGAACGTTTATCCGATGTTTAAGACGCATGAAAATTGGCAACCCCTCACCCGAAAGCGCCATCTTGGATGTTTTTGTCGCTGTCACATTGTGTCAGCGGTAATGTTTTTTTGGACTAGGTGCTTCTTGTAAAGATCACGAAAGAATACATTCGCCAATTTAAACAAGATGGCGTCCATGAAAACATCCCCCGGTTTGGTCAATTTCTTTATTTACAACTCCACTTTTGCGCCAAAAGAAGGAATGGTATGTTATTTGATTTTTAACCTAGTTTCTCGCTGTACATATAACTTACTGCGAAATCAGGAGTTTTAAACACTGTTATTGTGTCATGTCTTTTGACTTGAGGCTTTCAAATTAACCAGTGATAATTAAAAATCAATTGCCTAGAAAAGAAAGTTATCCTTTAAAGATCACACCAGGAGTATCCTTTTTGCAAAAAATGTCCCTGAATTTCTCTTACTGTAGAAAAATACTGTATCGCACATGCATTGCCTTCATGCAGGCAACCCCTCCACTACCCTTTGTTACAAAGGAAATGGGAGACATCAACACAGGCTATATTGTGCAGCCTATAAGTAGTGGTATTCGCCTAGGTAATTCATGCCACGGTATCCTGCCAAAGATTAGAGGCTTTTAACTTTGGAAATAGCTTTCTCAACAATTTTGTGCAAACGCCACCCTTAACTCAATCTTTGTTCTCATCCTCACCCCGACTCTTACCCTCACCCCCACCCTCACCCTTACCCTCGCCTTCACCCTGTGCTTTTGCTCCAGTGTCATTTTTTTCTGACATTACTAAATTTCCTGTTACAAAGTTATATACATAACCATATATTTTATGGCACAGTTTCCTAAAAAAGGGTCATGCTTATTGTTTTTTCTATGTCAGGAAAAGGAAAAGATTGTCCTCTATATTCCACCTGGAGAGAACATTGACAGGAAGATTAAAAATATAGGACTCTGTGAAGCATTGGTCAAATTTACACAGTAAGATTGAATGCTGTTTTGCATGCCACATTTTATCCGACTTATTGTTGTCAATAATTTAATTGCTGCTATATTTCTTTGATTCTTTTTTATTGCATAGTAAACAGCGAAAAGCGTTTTTATGAAATCATATGTGGTCCTTCAGTTGATTTACAATAATGCATAACATCTTCTAGCCTGTGAAAGCAGACGTATTTCCTGTTGTTGCTTCTGTTCACCCGATAAAGTTACTTTTTGGGAGGAGAGAAGCGATGTCCAGAAATACTTCTGTATTCGCAGGCATAACATCTTCATTTTACCGTAGAACATTCTCACCAGACAAGCCTTGCAGCTCCCTTCACACTCAGAAAACAAGGCAGGTCTTTTTTGAAGCAGAACCAGATTTCTGGATGATCATGGTAAGCAGCTGAATATCTTGTTAGGTCAACCTGTTTTCAGCAGTCAGGCACCACTAAAAAATGGCAAAACATTTAAATAAAAAATAGAGATGTTGCTTGGAAAAATATCGTTCACACACCTCGAGAGGTTTTTAGGTCATCTTGTGCCAAAAGTACAGAAACTGCCACAGCAATGAATACAAGTGCTGTAAAATCGTAAAATACCAACAGGGAGGTGGTTTTTCCCGAAAACATGAAAAAATAATGTTTTGAAATTTAAACTAGGGATATACGCTACCCCCACCTCCCTTCCAACCAAAAAGGTCTCTCTAATTCCTACTTTTCACACACTGGATTTAACTTGCAGGTGATTGGTACAGGTGCTGCTGCAACTGAAGGTTTTGCAATAGGGTTAGGGTCAAAATAATTATAATAGGATCTTTATAAACCACCCTTGACCATAACCAAATGTATGATCACTGCAATTGCTGAAATAATCCAATGACAATAATGCAATAAAATGGGTGGATTTGCAATCTCTGCATGGTGACATTTTTTGTTGTCTAAAACTAATTTTATCTTTATAGACAGTCAGCATTCCTTTCAGTGAAAAAATAGCAAAGGATGGGAAGATGGTGATTGAATATCATGATGAAGATGTCTTGGTCAGTAGACGTGGCCCTTAGTAAATCCCAAATAAAAAATGTGTCCCCTGGAACGCATTGTGCTGCATTCATTAATTTATACAAGCATATATTTTTTTTTGTTTGTATGAAGAATTTCTTATAGTGTTGAAGGCTTTGGAGTTTCCAAAATGTAATGTGATACTTTTATATGGTAATTGAATTGTTTACTTAACATTAATTAATTAATGATAACGTGTTACAGTGATTAAATATAAGCTACTTCATTTATATAAATTAATATTGATATTTCCTTGCAGGATTCCGTTCTTGATGCAGTATTAAAGCAAGCTTACAAAATGTTCAAGGTATGCTTAGCTTTTAATTCCCTATATATAATGTACATATCAGTGCCAGATCCAGACCTTGAAATGATGGGGGGGCCCAGTCATCCTGACCCTTAGTTAAGGGAGGGGGTGGGAATGTATATATGTTGTTTCTTAACAATTGTAATTTGTCATGAAATTGAAAAGAAAACAACTTGTGTAAAATGTCATCGATAAAATAATTTTTGTTTTCTTCTCAGCTCTTTAATGGTACATTTGCCTATATTATAAAAACCCACAACCTTGAAGCACTTTGCAAAAGATTGGAGCATTTCTACACATCAGTAAGTTTTGTTTTTGACCTATTTTTAACTGCTATGTTTTAATTAATATGGTGAGATTAATATTTTGTTATTCCAACTTTTAAACCTGTGGATGAAATCCTATCTATTTAAATATAATTGCTTAAGATTTTTCAAAAAAGAAAACCTGGACACTATTAGCTAGAAATAAACTGGATTTTTGATAAACTAATTTATTATTAATACAATTTTTTTGCTTTATATACAAACAATGTACTATCCACAGTTAAAATTCTCTGTATTCTTCTCTATTCGTTCATGTAAATGAATTTTAGCTGAACTAACAATAAGATAACAAGATAGAGACTTGAGATTGAGGACTTAAATTTTTAGACTCAAAAGTGATGTGTGAGTGAAAATGAAATAATAATTATAATTATTATGTCGCATTTTGCAATTTTGAAAAATTCTTTTATTTTCAGTACTTACAGACTCTAAACTTTTCCCAGTTTGATCTCCTGGATGTTTTTTCAGGTACTTACAGTTGTTAGCTATTCACCTTTAAATCATTGATATGAATTAGCTGCCGTGGGGCTCGGAAAAAAAGTCCTGTCCACTAGTTTGGGACAAGCAGATTTTCTTGCTGGGCAAGTAACTATTAAAGATTACTTACCCAATGGGCAAAGGTCCATGCACTTGATCCTCTAACCAAATCATTAGCAACGACAAGCACAAGTGGCCCTGGGCAAACAAAATGTGAGAGCAGCTTGCCCAAATGACCAGTTGGTAACTTACATCATTTTTTTTCTTCAAGCCCTGTAACAATGTACTCAAATGCCTGTATTGCCGTGTACTGTCCACTCTATAATCCCCAGGTGTGGCTCGTAGAATTCTAAAAATATAATTTTTATTTTCTTTTTGATTAAATGAATATGTCATTTTTTTCCCACAGGAATAAATTTTCTTCCAGTGGACAAAAATACCTTTCTAAGGATCCAGTCTTTCATAAATGTGATTGAGCATTCATTCAGGTAAAAACTGGCCTTAAAATAATGTCTATTACAGTGGAACCCTGTTCTATGGACACCCATTTAATACAGGCACCCAAATATAACAGACATCCATTTTCATTTTCTTAACAAAGAGCTCATATGTTTTCTCTAAAATTAACCCACTTAAAACAGACACCAGTTAATACAGATGGATACTTTTTAAAAATAGTCACCACATCTCATAATATATTGCATCAGAGAAAATGCCAAAAAACATATGTAAATTAGACCAGAAAATTCCAATAAAAAAATTCCAATTCTCATATTTTTCATAGTTCATTCAAATTAATTTTATGATTCTTTGGGTTTTTCCAGAAACCTTTCAGATCAGTATGAGATTCTGGGAAAATAAACTGCACTTGGGATTCATTGTTTTCTGTTTTCACTTATTTTCAGCCAAATAAGATACACTGCTTTTCTATATTCTGAAAAACTTGTCTGGTGAGTTCATCATAATGTAGTTCTTCGTAGTAAAGTGATGTTAAATGTTCCTTTTTTTGAGTCGGAGTGATCTTCACACACTATGAAATTTTTAAAGTCAAGTTTGTTTGATTTAAAAGTTTTAAGTTTTAAGTGTTTTCCTTTTGCAGGAGTGGTCTTGAACAAGAAGATATGCGCACACTATACAAATACTTAGTGTCAAGTTTGTTTCCTACCACAAACGACCTGGAGGTACTGTACTGCCCTTATCATTAATTTGTACAAAATTTAAGGTACAAAAAAACTTCAAAAACTCATTAATAATTCATTAAGAAAAAACATGAAAGTAATTAATGTTTAATAGGTGTTTTATATCTGATTAAGACACGGCTAGACTTTAATTCCAATTTTTCAGACCAAAATAACCCCAAATCTAAATATTAGTGCAAGAATGTGTTGATCTAGATCTTTGCCTCGAGTTTTTAAACCTGATAACAGACTTTAGACTACGAGCAGTCTCTCTTTTTTCTTGGTCCGTCGAGCAAAACGTCCGAGACACGCAAATGACCACGTGCATGACTAAAGGCCTTCTTGGGCTGTGGCCCTCATTTATCATGTCTTGCGGCTTCGCCGCTCAATGCTCACACATGAGTGCACTCCCCTTACTAAATCTGAAGAAAAAGAGAGACTGCCGCTCGCAGTTCAAATAGACTCCTGCTCATTTTTTAAACAGTACTTCATGGCTTTCTAACCCTGAAAGTAAATGGATTTTTTGCAGAGTATAGAAAATCCAAGATCTCAAGGTTATGTTGTTGTTCAGCCTAAATCTCATCATGGAAGGTATCTTTAGAAGTTTTGAATCAATACTACTCTAAATGCATTTTAGGCACATTTGAAACATCGAACTTCACATGCTGATTTTAATGCTAATGAGCAAGATCTCTTGTTCTTGCTGAGTTGCTTAGATCGATTAGGCGCATGTGAAGTTCAACGTTTGAAAGGGGTATGATGATGATGATGATGATGATGATGATACTGTAGTGACTGTAGTGTTGGTGGTGGTGATCAGCGTGCAACAGTCGTGCAACAGCATGCAACAGTCGTGGCTGATAGCCCTGAGCTAGTGGATTTTGCTATCGGGGTAGTGAATTCTGTTCTTAACTTGCCTAATGAGCAAGTAAATTTTTTGTTGCAGGGGGGGTGGGGGGAGAGGGGCGGGTTCACATTACAGAAGAACTCTAATCAATGCTCAACAAAAGTATTTTCAGACTTAGTGGAAGTGACTTTTGGGCTAGTACATGCTATCTACAGCTTGCCCAAATGACAAGCAGTAAAACTGACTTTCTTTGCACCTGGTGGTGATGGAGATTATGATTATGACTACATTTAGCTCGTGTGAAGTTCAACATTTCAAATTGGCCTTTATGAAGTGATGTCAATGATGGTCTTATTCATTCATTCACACACTTTTAATGATGACGATAGCTTGATCATATGGAGGTGGGAATGGCTATGCTAACAGTGGCGCTTGTGGTGTGAACGGTGATGTTGTTCAGGCTGTTGTCCTGCAAGATGCTCTACCTTACTCCAAGATTCCCATTCAGAGTAAGAAAAAAGTGAATTATTTCTCCTATTTTCAGATTCATAACAGGTCCTACTGAATTAGGAGATGTACCAACACCAAGGACACCTCCCAAAATATTTGTTAATACTGACTCTGAACAGGAGGAGCTGATACTAGTGGTTTATAAGGTATGATAGAAAAAACTAAGCTACTATTCTTGCTCTGATTGCTTGAAAATGCTGCTGTTAAATATACTCAGTACTGGTAATCTCACAGTATAGTTAACTGTCAGGATCAGTTATTTAGACAAAGTCTAAGCTAGGCTGCCTTGAAAGACACCATTGGACTTTCAGCTCTCTAATCTCTTCAATAAGTGGCTTATTTTTAAGACGTTAAATGTTCTTCCAGTCTACACTGTGTGTTTCCATCACACTTTTCACCATAAACGTTGATTAGGCAAAAGCATTAAGCAAACTGAAAATGGTTTAGTTTCGAGTGTTTAACATTTGCTAAATTCAGTTATTAAAAATAGCCGGCCCTGAAACTTGGTCTTGTTTATGTATCAACAATAGGATATTGCAAGTAAATAATCCTAAGTCGAGGCATTACGCCTGATGCTTCTGTAACTGAATCCTGCTTGTTTGTTTGTTTTGTCAGGCTTTAGAGGCTACAATATGTTTAATGGTCTCAGGTTAGTGAGAACAAAATGCGATATATCTAGAGCTTTTATCGGATGTTACAGATATTTTACTGTTTAATAGCATTTTAAGTAATGTGACAAAAGAAAACAAAGATTAAAGTTATTCCAATTAATAGTGCAGTCGATATTCACCCAAAGATGGACGATTTATTGATTGCTTACCAGAATCAAACCACCGGGAATCGTTGAAAAATTATACAAACGTCACCCAAAAACTGATCGCGTTCGCTCTGGAGAGGTCCTAGCTTTAAGGCTTTGTCTTGATAAAAATTTGGTGTTTTGTATTGGTGGTCGCTCCGCACCACAGTTTTCACATTGTTTTTCCCAGGTACGTGATAGTTTCCCTAATTCTGTAATAAACTTTCGTACAGGAGTCGCCCCACCCTCTCCCCCTCCCTCCCCCCTCCCTTCCCCCCTCCCTTCCCACCCTCCCTGCAAGGGGTAAAAACGCCGTTTTTTATGTTCTGTGTTTTGTTTAGGAGACGAAAGTTAATCATTGTTCGATATCCACAAGATTGACGTTGGGAATGGCTCATTTTGCGTTTTTTCCCTATTTAGGTCCTTATCCTAGCATGGACCTCTTTAGAAAAATTGATAATTTTATTGGCCCTCAACTTACAACGCTGGCTAGTGTGGTTGGTGAACAAAGTGCAAAGAAACAACAGAGGTATCAAGTGGTTAAAGTATTTCCTCAAGTGGATTCATAGACTTTTCGACCGATTGAAAATTGTCCACGTTTGATATATTTCTAACGTGACTCCGAGGCTTTCTCGTAATTTTTCCCTATTTGGTGTGCTTATCTTTGTGCTCAAGTCTTTTCTGGGAATGTCGGGAAAAATTTGCAATTTTGACACTAAAGCATCGGAGTCATGTTAGCGTTTTAATATGTCGAACGTGGGCTATTCGTGCCTTTAAGTGTTCAGTTCCCACGGAGCCACCTTAACCGTACAAAAATTTAGACGGCTAGCCGTTTAAAGTTCCGTGTGAACAGAGCGAAAATATTGAACAGTCCCGTGTGGAGGACGTGAACACACGGCGACGACTTTCTTTTTCTTTTCCTGAACTTTGATACAGCCCTTTTGAATTCATCTTCAGAAAACGAGATGGAATAAGGGATAAAGTTTGAAGCAGCGCGAATGCACTTTTTAAGCGACGTTTTGGTAGCCGTCGCCGTCGTTCTTGCTTATTAAACTCCCTTATACCGCTTAACAATGCACAGACCACTTTCTCACGACAACTTGTTCCAAGTTTTCAAATCTGATTCATAAACCCAGTAGGAAAACGTGCAGAAGACCTTTCGGCGTCTACGTCTTAGAGACGCGTCTGTTGGCCAGCGAACAGGCGCCTATTCGTTTCGGAACAAACAGTGTAAGGAGGAATGGCCGTTTTTATGAGAGACACCGATTACCTGTCTGTTATAACATTGTGCAAACATATGCACGTGCGTCGTAGTTTGTGTAGATGTAGTTCATGTGTCTTTTTCGACACCAGAGACCGATGAATAGGGAGTTTTCACATTACGTTACGGTGGCCATATTGGTGTTCCAAAACAACGAAACAGCGGCCATGTTGTAGCATGCATAACAAGCGTTTCCAGTCGAGTTATTGTGCGAAAGTTGGAGCGAGAGCCATAAAAAAAAGCGAAAGGGCGCGGAAACGCTTGCTTCATGGGTTAGCCATGTTGGTGTTCCAAACTTGAACTCTCTTATTTATGTAAACGTTGCATTTCTCCTGGCCACTTGAGTGAAAACGCTCTTTACGATCCTTGTTAAAAGTTAAGTTAAGCGAAAGTTAGTGAAGCTTAATGTTTACTCACTTCAATGCTTTTTTGCGTCCTTGATTCTTCCCCAGCTCCGACCAGCAGTACCGATATCTGTACTTCAACCACATGAACTTGGCCCAGAAGACTTCAGTCCACTCCAGAAGGTCCTCGCTGCCTATCGTTGCTCCTGAAATCATGAGACTTATGGGCGACATAAGTGCGGACTTTGCAAGGTATAGTCCTTGGAAATATTTGTTTTTCAAATATTTTACAATAAGACGGCGAAAATGTGGCCGCCTTGCTTAGCTTAGCTTAGCTTAGCTTAGCTTAGCTTAGCCGGCGCTTAGACCTCAGCAACTTCTGTTTTCATCGAACGAACTCTCCAGGAGTTTCTACAAGCTGTTTTTCTTTTACGAACACGGTTTAATTTTTTGGCACGTGCTGCACGTGCATGCGCCCCTATTTTACACGTGCGTTTGCCTTCCGGCTTTGCACGCTTGTTGAACAGTTTTTAAAATCATAACTTTGGCTCAGGCTACTTTCCTCTGTCTATGTCGAAGCGTAAGAATTTTTGTTTTGACGAAGTAAAGACTAGTTTCATCATTACTTTTGAACTGAAGTGGCCCACTTTAATAGCTGGTCTATCGGCAGGCATGGTTTTGTTTTTGTTGTCTGTTGTGTCCCTAAAATGAGGATTCAATGCAGTTTAAAATCAAGGTATACAACTTCGTCTCCGTCCAAATTAAATTGTCCTGCTAGTAATACGGAGGTTAAAATTTAAGCTATGTTCATACTTTTCTGGATAGCTTTTGCGTCGGCGAGAAAACCATACTAGATAATGTTTACAATAAGAACGGTGATTTCGACGCGATTGCGGTAACGGAGCGAAGCTGCGCTGCGCTGACCTCTAAAGTGGAGAGTCACATATCGGATAGGTGCTTGTGTCGGCACCAAAAGCTATTCGCTATAAACGGCACCCGACTTGCCCTCTTTGTTAATTGTGAAAGCAATAAAGGAAGTTTTTTTGTTACGCCTTTGTAGTTTCCAAGAAGATGGTGAAACGTTTGTGAAGACCATGTCCGATTGTTGGATCGTTGGACGAAAATCAGATCAGCGGGAATTGTTTGTCATCCTGAACCAAAAGAATGCCAACCTTATAGAGATTGATGGTGAGTGTAGTTTTACGCAAGAGACACCGGTTGTTTACCATTTACATGGGCAAACCGGCCAGTTCAAGGTTTGGGTAAATGGTAAGCAAAATTCGCCAATCATTTCCATTAACCGAAAACGGCTGCGAAAGCCTGAAATTGGTATCAAAGGTGGCTTCTAAGAAAAGGAAGGGGTGAGGATTTGAATGGCCTCCCTTCATTTGCACCCGCCACCCCTCTCCCTCTATTATGAGAAGTAAAGTTAGAATCCCTAAATAAGTGTTTATTTTGTTTTCATTTTGCAGAGGAAGTGAAAAGACTGGGTATCACACAATTCAACAACATCTTTTTCTTGGACTAATCGAAAGGAATGAGGGAGAAATCGTTTAGAATCTTACTGGCCTCAGTTGTGCGTAACGCCGTCCATTCACAACATCTCCATGACATAAGCCTGGATGCTTGGTTCTCTCTTCTTTAAGACAAAACTTTAAAACCCTTTGGAACTAGATTTTTTACTAGATTCTTCGGACGCACTTTTTGGCACAAAGAATAGAATATTTGGCAAAACAGGTTGCCTAGTCTTTAAGCCTCATTATTACGCGCGGCCGATGCGTTTTGGGTCACGTGGTCCGAGCGAGTCGGATACGTCACCGAAATGCACTGACCGAGAAGGTCTTTGAAGACGCCGTACAGGGACTAATCAAGCAAAAAAAGTGAAAGTTCACCTAGGACAGAGCATAGTATTTCCTGTAATATTAAAAAATATATAAACAGGCCATTTATGTTGTAAATAGGGACTCCTGGTTGTAAATATATAAAAATTACAGAAGACCTCTAAATAAAATTGTGACATGAAAATGCATTTGTCATTACGTTGACAGAAAACGCTCTTTATGTTATCCAACAGTCGTTAATAAATAGTGAGAGATTCTGAATAACAATTTCAAGACTGGAAAACCGTCCGCTCTTTGACGGCAGGGTGCCGTGGAAAAGGAAGCAACAATGAAAGCTCTGGAGCAGCAAGTTGAATTAATTTGGGGAGAAAAGCGGACAATTCGTGTGCCCTAAACATGCGTTTGCATGATGAATAACCCTGCGAGCAGAGGGTACGTTTTCGCGAAAGAGTAGCCTCTGCTCGCAGGGTACAAGATGGCCAGGTATTTACCAAGATTTTTGTTTTCCATTTTTTCTGGACTGAGACGAAGTCAGGAACATAAAAAAGAATGAGGCTAATATTTTGTACCACGTGACCAAGTTTTCCCCCTTATTTTTCGTTTATTGTTTATTGCTTCTACACAAAAATAAGTAGTTTTATGCCAGTTTTATCCACAAGAATCGTTCTGGACTGTTTTTATCTGCTTATTTTCTATTCTGAGAAATTTTCAACTGACGTTTGCCGTTTGCCGTATGCCGTAAACGTGAATCTTAATCTCTCTATTAACGAAAACAGAGCTCGAGAGGTAAGGAAATACCTTAGCAAGTTTGTCATCTAGCTGCCTCTTCCTGACCGATATATCATCCATCGTCAACACACGAAAATATTAGTTATCAAACTATTATTGTTTTCAATAATTGCTACACATAGCGAGCGTTTATGCGATTTTTAAGACGCATGAAAATTGGCAACAGTTTGACAACACCTCCCCCGAAAGCGCCATCTTGGATGTTTTGACCGTCACCTTCTGTCAGCGGTAATGTTTTTAGAAGTAGGTGCCTCTTGTAAATCTCACTAAAGAATATTGAAACAAGATGGCGTCAATGAAAACATCCCCTGGTTTGGTCAATTTCTTTATTTACAATTCCACTTTTGCGCCAAAAGAAGGAATGGTATGTTATTTGATTTTTAAGCTAATTTCTCGCTGGATATACAACTTACTGCGAAATCAGGATTTTTACACCCTGTTATTTTGTCATGTCTTTTGACTTGAGTGTTGAGGTTTTCAAATTAACCAGGGGCCGGTTGCTTGAAGCCTGGTTAGCGCTAACCGTTGGTTAAGAGGTATCAAAACGTATAAGTTTCTATGGTATTTAAAGCTTGTCAGCACTAACCATGCTTCGAGCAACCCGGGCCAGAGTGTTAATCAGGAATCAATTGCCTAGAAAAGAAAGTTATCCTTTCACAATCACACCAGGAGTATCCATTTTGCAAAACATGTTCCTGAAGTTCTCTTACTGTGGAAAAATACTGTATTGTGCATTGCCTGCATCTAGGCATGTTCTATTTCCACTGTTGCAAAGGAAATGGGAGACATCAACACACAGGCTATATCTATATGGTGCAGCCTGTAAGCAGTGGTATTCGCCTAGGTAATTCATGCCATGGTATCCTGCCAAAGATTAGAGGCTTTTAACTTTGGCAATCTCAATAGCTTTCTCAACAATTTTGTGCAAACGCCACCCTTAACTCTACCTGCACTCTCACCCTCACCCCCACCCCCACTCTTAACAATGCCATCACCCTCACTACCCTCACCCCCACCCTCGGTCTCACCCTCATTCTTACCCTGAACCTCTTCCTTTTCTCTACCCTCACCCTTTACTGCGTTTTTGGTCTCACCCTTATCCCCACACTCACCCCACCCTCACCCCTCCCCCCTGCCTTCACCCTGTTCTTTTGCTAGTGTCATTTTTTTCTGACAATACTAAATTTCCTGTTACAAACTTATATACGTAACCATAATTATATTTTATGGCATCATTTCCTAAAAAAGGGTCATGCTTTATGTTTTTTCTACGTTAGGAAAAGGAAAAGATTGTCCTCTATATTCCACCTGGAGAGAACATTGACAGGAAGATTAAAAACATAGGACTCTGTGAAGCATTGGTCAAATTTACACAGTAAGATTGAATGCTATTTTACATGCCACATTTTATCCAACTTTTTGTTGTCAATAATTTAATTGCTGCTATATTTCTTTGATTCTTTTTAGTACACAGTAAACAGCAAAAAGGGTTTTCATGAAATCATATGTGGTCCTTCAGTTGATTTTACAATAATGCATAACATCTTCTAGCCTGTGAACACAGACATATTTCCTGTTGCTGCTTCTCCTCACCTGAAAAAGTTACTTTTTGGGTGGAGAGAAGTGATGTCCAGAAATACATCTGCATTCGCAGGCATAACATCTTCATTTTACTGTAGAACATTCTCACCAGACAAGCCATGCAGCTCCCTTCACACTCAGAAAACAAGGCAGGTCTTTTTTGAAGCAGAACCAGATTTCTGGATGATCATGGTAAGCAGTTGAATATCTTGTTGGGGCCAAACCTGTTTTCAGCAGTCATGCACCCCTGAAAAATGGCAAAACATTTGGATAAAAAATAAAGATGTTGCTTGGAGAAATATCGTTCACAAACCTTGATAGGTTTTTAGGTCGTCTTGGGCCAAAAGTACAGAAACTGCCACAGCAATGAAGACAAGTGCTGTAAATCGTAAAATATCAACAGCGAGGTGGTTTTTCCAAAAAACATGGAAAATGGTGTTTTGAAATTTAAACTAGGGATCATATACGTTACCCCCACCTCCCCTCCAACCAAAAAGGTCTCTAAATTCCTCCTTTTCACACACTGGATTTAACTTGCAGGTGACTGTTACAGGTGCTGCTGCAACTGAAAGTTTTACAATAGGGTTAGGGTCAAAATAATAGGATCTTTATAAGTCACCTTTGCAAATGACCATAACCATGTGCATGATCAATGCAATTGCTGAGATAATCCAATGACAATAATGCAATAAAATGGGTGGATAAATTTGCAATCTCTGCATGGTGACATTTTTTGTTGTCTAAAACTAATTTTTTCCTTTATAGACAGTCAGCATTCCTTTCAGTGAAAAAATGGCAAAGGATGGGAAGATGATGATTGAATATCATGATGAAGATGTCTTGGTCAGTAGAAGTGGCCCTTAGTAAATCCCAAATAAAAAATGTGTCCACTGGAAAGCATTGTGCTGCGTTCATTAATTTACGCAAGCATATTTTTTTTTTGTTTACATGAAGAATTTCTTATAGTGTTGAAGGCTTTGGAGTTTCCAAAATGTAATGTGATACTTTTATATGGTAATCGAATTGTTTACTTAACGTTAATTAATTAATGACAACATGATACAGTGATTAAATATAAGCTACTTTATTTATATAAATTAATATTGATATTTTCTTGCAGGATTCCGTTCTTGATGCAGTATTAAAGCAAGCTTACAAAATGTTCAAGGTATGCTTAGCTTTTAATTCCCTTGTATATATAATGTACATATCAGTGCCGGATCCAGATCTTGAGATAAGGGGGAGGCCCGGTCATCCAGACCCTTAGTTAATTAAGGGGGTGGGGGGGGGGGTAATGGTCCTCGCCACATTTTTTTCGGCCCTTCGGGCCTCAGTTTGGTCTAAACCTCTCCTGGATCTGCCACTGCATACATGTATATAATGTTTCTTAACAATTGTAATTTTTCATGAAAATTAAAAAGAAAACAACTTGTGTAAAATGTCATCAATGAAATACTTTTTGTTTTCTTCTCAGCTCTTTAATGGTACATTTGCCTATATTATAAAAACCCACAACCTTGAAGCACTTTGCAAAAGATTAGAGCATTTCTACACATCAGTAAGTTTTGTTTATGACCTATTTTTAACTGCTACATTTTAATTAATATGGTAAGATTATTATTTTGTCATTCCAAATTTTAAACCTGTGGATGAAATCCAATCTATTTAAGATTTTTACGATTTTTTTAAAGATTTTTCAAAAAAGAAAACCTGGACACTATTAGCTAGAAATAAACTAGATTACAATTTTTTTTGCTTAATATACAAACAATGTACTATCCACAGTTGTAATTATCTGTATTCTTCTCGGCCAAGTTGTGGGAAGCTGGGTTAATTAAACCCAGGATTAGTGTGAGATTTGAATTCAGATTTAAAAGCTTGAAAAGTATTTCAGTTTTAAATCTTTTTGTCTGCAAGTTTATGACTGGAAGCTCTAAAAATAACAGAGAAAATTATCGGAGAAAATGCTTTTGAACACAAGAAAAAGAAACGCTAATTGGTCTTCAAACAACCTGGCCCTGTATTCCTACATGTAAATGAATTTTAGCTGAACTGACATTAAGATAACAAGATGGTGTCTTGAGAATGGGGACTTTAAGACTTAAATTTTTAGACTCAAAAGTGATGTGTGAGTAAAAATGAAATTACATTATGTCGCATTTTACAATTTTGAAAAATTCTTTTATTTTCAGTACTTACAGACTCTAAACTTCTCCCAGTTTGATCTCCTGGATGTTTTTTCAGGTACTTACAGCTGCTAGTTATTTGGGATTAAATCATTGCTATGAATTAGCTGCCATAGGGCTCAAAAAAAGTTCCATCTGCTAGTTTGGGACAAGTAGATTTTCTTGCTGGGCAAATAACTTTTAAAGATTACTTACCCAATGGTCATTAGCAACAACAATCAGAAGTGGCCCTGGGCAAACAAAATGCGAGAGCAACTTGCCCAAATGACCAGCTAGTAACTTACATTATTTTTTTTCTTCAGGCCCTGTAACAATGTACTCAAATGCCTGTATTGTCATGTACTGTCCACTCTATAATCCCCAGGTGTGGCTTGTATAATTCTAAAACTATAATTTTCTTTTTGATTGAATGAATATGTCATTTTTTCCTCACAGGAATAAATTTTCTTCCAGTGGACAAAAATACCTTTCTAAGGATCCAGTCATTCATAAATGTGATTGAGCATTCATTCAGGTAAAAACTGGCCCTAACATAATGT